ATATATGCTTCCAAATAGACACATTAAAGAGTACGAGACGGATATTGATGGGCTGGTTCATACACATTCAGAACAAAATAGAAGCGAAAAAGATATCCATAGTTATATGTGGAGATCTGAACGCAAAACATGTGACCTGGGGAGGACAGACTGCGGATCGTTGATCTGTTGACGTCGAACAATCTTTTTCTATGTATAAACTTATTTTAAGTGGCAGAAGGCTGTGCTTTAAGACCGATAACAGAACACAAAGCGAGAGCTGAGATGGAATGAGGCACTGTACACAAACACCAAGGTGGTCCAAGGAAACCCACTGACGACAAAAGCCACGACGGTTAAAGCTGTCCTACTCGAGCCCTCGGATGCAAAAATGGAGAGGGGCCGTCAAATGCTACACAGGCAAAGATACCCTGAACTGACCAACGCGGTGCAGGACTTTGCTGTACTCGAGCGCGAGATGGCGGAAGCAGGAGGCGGCGGCAGCTAGCCAGAAGGTTGTGCGAATAGTACAGGGAGAGAAAGAGTGGAATAGACTCGTCCTCCTGAAGAATGAAACGGTGGGGGATGAATAGGTGGCCATTCACTACATTGAGCGTTGCTTCACCGAGAGGCTACGAAAGATGGTTGAGGTGATTTCACGGGGGCAACACCAAAGTTGCTATATATATATCAACGTGAAACGGGCAACGAAGCAGCAGACGACAAGACAGAGGGCACCGGCGCAGGATGTTAACGCCGAGGGACGAACATATAGTGATGTCCTAACCGAACGTGAAAGGTAACGAGGCGGCACAGGTCATAAAGACCGTAAGAAAGACCAGGAACGACAACGTGATAATAACCACGGAGGAGGGCAAGACACGTCTCGATGCGCCCAGGAAAGCGATCGAAGAAGAGGAATCCAAGTTGAGGGTCAGGGATACGACCAGAAGCATGGAGGGGGTACATATCACGGGCCAGGACATCACGGCCACCCGCAAGGAAGTGGCCGCTGAATTGGAGAAGCTCCTGGGGAAGTTCGACGAGGCCAACCTCAAAATGAACGAAATGACGCCAAATGCGGGTAGCACCGAGGCCCTGACTCAGCCTGGAAAGAGCCCAGGCAGAGCGGCTCCTGCAGAAGCCTTATCTACGGGTGGGTTTTTCCCGAGCCAAAATAGAGAGGCGAATAAACGTGCCGAGATGCAGGAGGTGCTGGGGATATAACGACACCGAGGACGGTTGCACGGGTCCAGATAGGAGGAAGCTCTCCTTCCGATGCGGGAAGTAGGCCCACGCCTCGAATGAATGCAAGACCAGTCCCTGCACATGCCTGGTCTGCAATTCCCAGCACCAAATGGGCACGGCGAGCTGCGGCTCCTTCCGGAGGTCTGTCTCCCAACTAAGGAGAGAGAAGTCTCAGACGAGTACACGAGTTAACTGACCGCCTATCCCCATAAACTGATGAGCCAGCAGATCATATGTCCGTTTGGAGACAATA